ATAACCACGGAGCATAACTGGTTGAGCCCTCAAGTAGGTGACATCGGAACAGAGGGAAGACTGAAGTTGTTTTGTTTTTTTGAGGTAGAGTCTCACTATTGCCGAGGCTGGAGTGCAGTGACACGCTCACGGCCACTGCAGCCTCAACTTACTGGGCTCAGGTGATCCTTCTGCCTCAGCCTTCCAAGTAGCCGGAACTACAGGCACATGCCACCATGCTTGGCTAATTTTTTGATTTACTGTAGAGATGAGGTCTTGCCAAGTCACCCAGGCTGGTCTCGAACCCATGAGGTTAGGCAATCAATCCTCACCTCAGCCTCCCAAAGTGCTGGGATTATAGGTGTGAGCCACCACACCTGGCTGACTGAAGATTCTTTCCCAAAGTGTTGCATTTAATGGAGTTACTCAAGAAAGCTTCTATTTTGGCAGACACATTGGAATATATGGGGTAAAATGGGCTTCCTTACTGCAGGGCTTGAATATGCTAATGAGAGTATGAACACTACCTAGAGCTGCCCATGAATTTTGTCACAGAGTACATCCTGGGATTGGGTTCTCCAGGACCCTTTGGGAAAGGATGCTTACTTAGTTCCTAACTGGTCCTCCCTGAAATTCCTTCGTCTCCCCCAATTCCATTCCTTTCAGGAACAGCAAGCCGCGAAACCGCCCATCATTCCGGCAGATCCTGCTGCACCTGGACATTGCCTCAGCAGATGTCCTCTCCACACCCCAGGAGACTTACTTTAAGTCCCAGGTGTGCTGTGGGTAGGAAGATGAATACCTAACTCCCCTTCTTTGCAGAGGTGATGCCCTTGGAGGGGGAGACTGGGAAAAAGGCTTGACTGGGACAGAACAGACTGGCTCTTAGAGGTCTGAGACCCCACCTTGGTCAGTCCTGCTCCCTACTCCCTTTCGCTCCTACAGTTTGCGGTGGTATGGGCAACCTGCAGAGCTTTTCTGCAGGGCTGCCTGGTGAAGAGATGGCCCTCACCCCTCGTCTGCTCTCCCCCCCCCCCCCCG